AGCCCCTGTGGCTTCTCCTTCCTGAAGCCCCTGGAGTGGGGCACTGGATATGTGTTGGGAGCTCTGTTAGGGCCAAGACCAGTCTATTTCTTAACTTGTTTAGACCCCCAAGTTCCCAGGTGATGATTCCAGACTTTTGAAGTTAAGGAATCCATTTAATATCAAAATTCTGTGACCTTAACATTTGTCTTTTATCACATCTTATTTTGTGCGTGCCTGTGTTTGTGTGTATGTGTCTGGACATGCATGTGGAGGTCAGAGGACAACTTGGGGAAGTCAGCTCTCTCCTCCACCATGTGGGTCTTGGGGACGGAACTCATGTCATCAGACTTGGAGGTGGTACTTTACCCTTCAAATACAAAGATATAGCACTATGGAGCTGGCAATGCTCTTTAAGGGCTCTGTGATATAGATATCACTGAAGTTGCACCGTAGGTGACATGGGAGTGTCTTACGGTGCTGATTGGGTCTTTGTACCTAGTGGCTGCAGACTAGTAAGTGGGGGGGGGGGGGCAGATGGGCCTCCTCTCCAGAAAGCCCATAATCCCCGACCCTTTTGGAGACACCCACTTGGTACCGGGCCTTGGAATACAAATGAGGTGTATTCATACCCAGGAGACCATGACAAAGTGCTGGAATATGGCCTACCCTCAGACCAGGTACCAGGACAGATTGCAATGGCTGCCACAGAGGGTGGCCTTCCTTCTAGTCAGTGTAAGTGTGGGAGCTGGCAGGAAGTGGCTCCAGGCTGCTGTTAAGCATCCCAACCAGCCTCCTGCCCACAGCTCCCAACTTGCTGTTTGGCAGTGGCTTGCAACTGGAGGTGAACTCTCTCCTGTACCTTGTCCTGACCCATGCCAAGTCAGGACTCCATGTGTGCCTGGTACCCCCACCTGGGCTGCTAGGCAGGGCTAAACATTCATCTTGCTCCCTGGTGCTACAGCTATAGTAAAGAAACTGAGACCATTTTGCTTGAAACAGATGGGCTCAGCCAGGGGAGGTGGTCCTTAGGCCTTCGGAGTGGGGAAGAAAGGATGTACTATAGTGTGGGGACGTGGGTTGTCTAGATGACCTTGGGTAGGTCCTTTCACTCTGGGAGGTGCTGTTTCTTATCATCAGAGATGCTAATCTCAACCAACCTTAGGATTGGTTGGGGAGAGAGGTGTAGGAATCAAAGTGAATGGTGGAACTTCTCTCCAACCAGGAAGACCGAGCCCTTTGCCTCTTTTTTTCCTGCACTGGGTCTGTGCCTTGGGTGTTTCACCAGGGTCCTTACTCCACAGCTCCAGGGGATGCCCAAAGCGATGTGTTGATTGGTCTTCCCTTCTGCCCTGTATCGTACCCCATGGGTCTGCCCCAGTGATTCTTCCAGGTAACCCAAACCTCTAACTTGGGCTTTCAAATCACCTGATTTCCAGGCTCTGCCCTTTGCTGGGATGGAGCTAAGTGACCCTGGGTTTGATAACACAGACTATGAAACTTTCTTACCATGAAGTTTCTGCTATATTCTTTGAAAAAAGTGTTTGTGCGAGTGCTTGCGTGCGTGCATGCGTGCGTGCGTGCGTGCATGTGTGTACATGTACCACAGCATACATGAGGAACAACAGGTCAGGCAAACTTATAGGACTCTTTTCTTCTGTTCACTTGAGTCCCAGAATCAAACTCTGGTCATCACATTTACCGGCAAGCACCTTTACCGGCTGAGCCATCTTGCCGCCTCCGTTCTCTGTTCTTTCTTGTTTTGTTTGGTGAACAGCTGGTTTTCTTGAGGCCTACTGAAGAGAAAGATAAGGCTGGCTTGCCTTTACCTCCCTGAGTGGCAAGAGGGGATGACTCTTTATCCCTAGGTATCCCAGAAGTGATACTGAGGAAAGGGCCCTTATGAGCCCTCGGGAACACAACAGGCTTCTAAATGGTACCTGAAATGGCATTGAAAACGCCAGTCAGCTGGGACCTGGGGAGTCATGGTTCAGACTCATTCTCCCCCCCACCCCACCCTGCCCCCGATTTCTTCATGGTAGTGGGGCAGTCAGGGAGCTGATTCTCTTTCCTTGGCAGAGGTTGGGGAGTGTGAGATGGGGTTGCTGCCCCTCCTCCCCTCATTCCCTGCCCTGGACCTGGTTTGCTGGTTTCAGTAGTGATTTGCCTTAGAAGCTTGTTGTGTAAACAAGATCATAGTGGGATAAGCTGAACAAAGTCAGGGGAACAAATTGCTTCCTTGTGAAGACCCAATCTTATCTAGCTCTTAGAGAGGCCCTCCCTTTTGGGAAATTACTGGCTTTTGGGACTTCCCTATGGAGGGAGACAGCTACATGCCTTATGTTTGCCTGGACCCCAATATATCTTTGCAGCTTTAATTACCTCACCTTGAATAAGGTCTGCACCCCTGCTGTGTGACTCAGGCTGGTTTAGTTGGATCCAGGACCTCTGCCCCATCTCTAGCTCTCCCTCCTAGGGAGGGAGCACATGGGTTAGGATGGGGTTGGGACCTAGAAAGAGGAGGGAAGCTATGATCTTGGTGTCTTTTCTTGTCTGGAGGGTGCTGTTCACTAAAGGGAGGCAGCCATGGGGAAGTCTACCACAAGAATCTGGGGTAGTGTAGACAGGATGTGGGCTGACAGGTGGTGTGGGGATGGACCCTTGACTGTCCTATGGATGATGGACCACAATGAACTTTGAGTGTCTACCGAAGCAGTTCTCAACTTGTGGGTCACAACCCCTTTGGGGTCACAGACCAGATATTTCTTCATTATGATTCATAACAGTAAGGAAATTATAGTTATGAAGTGGCAATGAAATAATTTTATAGGTGGGGGTCACTGCAACATGAGGAACTGTATTAAAGGGTCTCAGCGTTGGGCTGTGACTGCTCGCTGGAGTTGAGCCACAATGAACCAACTGTCCTAGAAGTTGGGTCTGTGTGAGCTCAAAACCTTTGTCCAGGGGAGAAGAGCGTGCTTTTACTTTGTACTTCTAAAGGAAGGTTAATGTTACTTCTGGCTTAGCAGCTTCTATACACGCTGAACCACCCCTGTAACCAATAGAGCTTACACAGCTGTAGCTTTTTCCCCGTGGGTCCCACAGCCGTGCCTGACTCTCCCTGCTCTGCCCCACTCGTGAGTGAGGCCAATAGGGCTGTCTGGGTCCTGCCAAGCTTCCTGGGCCAAGGTGACCCTGTTTCCTTGGTGCTAGCCTCAGCTGGGCCACTCTACATGGTGTGTAGAGGCTCTCCCCTGCCTCCTCATGAAATACTATCTTGATCCTATGCTCTCCTGTTCATATGAGCCTCCTGGCATCAGGGGTTGCCACGAATCCCAGAGAGTCTCTCATTACAAATCGAACGGCTCTCATTACTTAGAACAATGGGCAGGGACACTTGTTACTTGCCAAGGCTGAATGGTTTTTCTTTTTTTTTTTTTTTTCTTTCTTTCTTTCATTTTTTTTTTTTTTTTGGTTTTTTTTTTTTTTTTTTTTTTTTTTTTTTCAAGACAGGGTTTCTCTGTGTAGCTTTGGAGACTATACTGGCACTTGCTCTGGAGACCAGGCTGGCCTCGAACTCACAGAGATCTGCCTGCCTCTGCCTCCCGAGTGCTGGGATTAAAGGTGTGCACCACCAGCTCCTGGCTGGCTGAATGTTCTTTTACTTCACACAGAAATTTTGCGACCGTTTTGTAATGCAGATGTTAGCACTGGCACCCATTTTCAGATGGGGAAGGTGAGGCTGTAAGTTGTATAGTGACCTCACTGAGGACACTCAGCTGGTAAGTGACAGAGGTCAGCGTGTCTTTGGGGCCTTTAGCTGAACCATGTACTTCTTTTTCTGTTTTGTTGAGACAGGATTCTCTATGTAGCCCTAGCTGGCCCAGAACACATGTAGACCAAGCTGGCTTCAAATTTGCTGCAATTTTTTTTGTCTCCCTCTTCGGTATTAGGATTGTAGGCATGTGTTACTCCTCCCAGCTGTTGTGCTTTTTTTTTTTTTTTTTTTTAATTCATTCTTTGTTCTGGTCTGCCCCAGGGCCCTTGTAAGATGGTCTGAGCTGGGTTATTTGGGCTAGTCTCATTGCCAAGCTGGGCTCCTGTATCTGCCCTCCCCATCACCTCCTTACCTGGCCCTTCTGTACCTGGTGTCCTGGAACCAGTGCTGGGGGCAGTCATGGGCCCTTCTCTCTGCCCCTTCCCCATCCTGCCTAGCTGGGGGCAGTGCTCCACATCTGCCATCCCTGCCCTACGGGACTGTGTTTGTACTCCACCACCTGTAGGCCCTTGGAGTTGGAGCCGGCAAGGCGGCCCACATTCCTGCAGCTGCTGTTGCCAAGGAGAGCCCATCCTAGGCCCACACTGCCCATTCATTGGAGCCTCCTTAATGCAGAAGCCCTTTCAGATTAGCTTCCACTGTCCCCAGCCTAAAGGGCACCCCGTCCTTTCTTCACTAAGAAGACCAGGATACAGTCCTTCCTGTGGCTGAGAAAACGGTCCTTGTGACCAGGTCTGGGGCCACCCTGGGTGGGCAGAGCTGCTTCAGCCCAGGGCAGCTCTGCCATGCCAGGCCTGGCCCTGCTTCTCACACTTGAGGCTTCTGTGCCTGCACCCCAGGGTCTAGCTCAGCTGGACGCTGATTTTCTAAGTATAGATTGTTTGGGGGAGGGGAGGGAGTGGGGAGAGCTGTGAAAGCTAATGTCCTCCATGCCTGATTCTCAGGGTTTCACAGAGATCACAGCTTGTATTCCCAGGTTGGGTTCCCTGAATAGAGAGAGCACCCTGGGGTTAGGATCATGTCCCCATCACTTGTATCTCCACTTGGCGCCAGGTTAGGTCGTTACAACGACGGGGATATGAGGAGGACCAGGGAACTTCCCAGAATTGAGAGCCTCAGAGCCAAATGCAATGGCTTCCTACATGTATAACTGGGATGATTGGTTGAGCCCATCCGGCTGCATAAGATGAGAACCCAGGGATGCTGGGCATTGGCTGAGCCTCATCTCAAACCCCTCTCTGATCTTTTTTCTAGCAAATTATGGCTGTCAATGTGCCTCCTGAGGATCAGGATGGCTCTGGGGATGACTCTGACAACTTCTCTGGCTCAGGCACAGGTAAGGCAGGCCCAGAACACTTAGATGGCCCCAGGTCATGGCTGGAGTGGGTGAGCAGGCAGTCACTTAGCTTTAGTGAGTCTCCTTCCTTCCCCATCTTGCCTCAGCCATCAGTCAGAGGGACAGTGCCAAAGGAAAGAATGGTATCCAGCTACAGTTGAGAGAAACACCCAGAGAAGTGGATTGGCTCTGAGAGACCATGGGCAGCCTCTAGAGGCAGCCCTTGGAGAAGGAGTTTGACTCCACTGAGCCTTAGTGTTTCTATCTGTGAGATGGGAATGCTTTGACCCAGAGGCTGTTGGGAGCTGCTGTAGCACAGGCTATAGAATTGTCCTCACCTCCTTCTCTAGATACCATCTGTCTTTGAACTGCAGCTAGCCTAAGGGATCTCCCAGAAGGGAGGTGAAGGGGGGATGCTCAGAAGGGAAGTCAAGGTAGCAGTGGGAAGTGAACCAGAGCAAAGGGCTGGGAGATGGGTAGGACACAGCCATGAGTTTCTAGGGAGAGAGGTAGGATGCAGCCATGAGTTTCTAGGGAGAGAGGTAGGATGCAGCCATATGTTCCTAAGCCTTTGGGGAAGAGAGCAGGACAGGTATGTGTCCTGGGTTAGGGTCCTATCATCTATGGAACTTAGCCCATGCTCACAGCAGTTCCCCATCCCAGATACCTGGGATCTTCCTCAAAGTTCAGTGAGCAGGCTGTTCCCAGGCAGCTGAAGCTGCAAAGGACTTTTTTTTTTTTTTTTTTTTTTTTTTAGGATTTAGCCTTGGCTAGTTCACCCTGGAGGACTCAGGCCTCAGGTTTCTCATAGCATGAATCTCCTTACTCTGACCTCCCTGCTTCTACCCCTTGTAGGTGCTTTGCCAGACATCACTTTATCACGGCAGACTTCTTCCACTTTGAAGGATGTGTGGCTCCTGACAGCCACACCCACAGCTCCAGAGCCCACCAGCAGGGACACCGAGGCCACCTTCACCTCCATCCTGCCAGCTGGAGAGAAGCCTGGGGAGGGAGAGCCAGTGCTCATAGCAGAAGTGGACACTAGCTCCACCACTTGGGACAAGGAGTTGGAGGTCACTACCAGGCCCAGGGAGACCACACAGCTCCTGGTCACCCATCGGGTCTCAACAGCCAGAGCCACCACAGCCCAGGCACCTGTCACATCTCATCCCCACAGAGATGTGCAACCCGGCCTCCATGAGACCTTGGCTCCCACAGCACCTGGCCAACCTGACCATCAACCTCCAAGTGGAGGTACTTCTGTCATCAAAGAGGTTGCCGAGGATGGAGCTACCAATCAACTTCCTACAGGGGAGGGCTCTGGAGAGCAGGTGAGTGGCTTTGTATTTCCTGAGTGGCCAATGGTACCTGGCATCTTGGTACCTTTCACCCTAACATCCTTTGCCCTGCAAAGCCCATTGTAGTCCTCACCACAGTGATGGAGTAACAAACTGATTACAAGATGGATCAATAGGAGGCTCCTTAGATTGCACTCAAGAGCTAGCCACCGAACGTTACACCAGGGTGAATTTTCTGTCTTAGAGCATTATGGGATTTTCAAACAAAAATGTGTGCTTTGTGTCACTTGAGGTGGTAACTGTGCCTTGGGCAGCCAGGGTCCCGAGTGTGCTTGTATTCCATGACAGATGCTGATGTCGGTTGGGTATGTCAGGTGTGGGGTGATAGGGAACCCTAACAGGGTATGGCAGTGCTCCAGGTTGCTGCTGTGTCAATGGCTCCAGCCCAACCTGATCTGGACTTGCACTCCTGTAGGATTTCACCTTTGAGACATCTGGGGAGAACACAGCTGTGGCTGCCATAGAGCCTGACCAGAGGAACCAGCCTCCAGTGGATGAAGGAGCCACAGGTGCCTCTCAGGGCCTTTTGGACAGGAAAGAAGTACTGGGAGGTGAGTCTTCTTTCAAGTAGGTAGGAGGAAACAGGCTGTGGCTCTGTGGTAGCCTGGGTTTCTGGGGTGCTGCCATCTTTAGCCATGGGGTGTCGAAGGAGAAGGGATGACTACGGCCCAGGCCACTTCCTGTGTTGTCTGTACCCCTGATTGCTGCTGATCTAAGCCAGCCTCTGTCCACTCCCTAGGTGTCATTGCTGGAGGCCTGGTGGGGCTCATCTTTGCTGTGTGCCTGGTGGGTTTCATGCTGTACCGGATGAAGAAGAAGGATGAAGGCAGCTACTCCTTGGAGGAACCCAAACAAGCCAATGGCGGTGCCTACCAGAAACCCACCAAGCAGGAGGAGTTCTACGCCTGATGGAGGAACGGTTCTCCCCCCAGCCCCTGCCACTCACTAGGCTCCCACTCGCCTCTTCTGTGAAAAACTTCAGGCCCTGGCCTCCCTACCACTGTGTTGCCTCCTCAGCACCCAGACCCTTCCAGCTGTTCCTGCCCGAGCAGTCCCAGGGTGTGCTGGGAATTCATTCTACTTCTTTGACTTCTGCCTAGAAGCTTGGGCGCAAAGGGTTTCTTGCATCTGACCTTTCTACCACAGCCACACCTGATGTCCACTATTCTGACTTGGTTTCTCCAAATGGGAGGAGACCCAGCTCTGGAGAGAAAGGGGACCCAACTGCTTTGGACCTAGATGGCTGGAGGAATCGGGGGACAGGAGAGGGTCTTCGGCTGACGTGCCATAGCACTTACCCATTGAGACCGCTAGGGTTGGCCATGCTGTGGGTAGGGGATGGAGTCCAGGGCTCCTTGGAATTCACTTCACATTGTGGGGAATTCTACTTTAGATATCAACTTGTTTTTGCACATGTTTCCTCTAGTTTCTCTGTTCAGAGCCCCAGTAGACTTTACTTCTGGGGTAAGGCAAGTCAGTTGACTGGGGTCCCTCACCTCGCTTCCCTAATCTACATTTGGGCGACAGCATCGGGGTCACTTAAGACTTTCTGTTTTTGTTTTTAACCTAGAAGAACCAAATCCTGATGCCAAAACGTAGGCTTAGTTTGTGTGTTGTCTCTAAGTTTGTCGCTCATGCGTGCAACAGGGTATAGACTATCTGTATGGTGCCCCATTTTCTGGTGGTCCGTAAGTAGGCTGGCTAGTCCCAGATACCATGGGGTAGCCACCTCTTGACCAGTCATGCCTGTGTGCATGAACTCAGGGCCATGGCTGTGGCCTGGGCCACTGCGACATCGGAAGAGCCTGTGTGAGAACTTACTCTTATAGCACAGTCTAGGGATGGAGGGGAGAAGACTGTGGGGTGGGGGAGGGGTGGCAAGGGTGCCCAAGACTCTCCCGCCTTTGGTACCATCTCTGGTCACCTTTCTCTTGGAAGTTGACAAGATACATCTTGAGTACGGCTGGCACTGGCTCCTCCAAGAACCAAGTTCACCTTCAGCTCCTGCGGCCTTGCCCCAGGCTGGAGTCAGAAATGCTTCCCAAAGAGTGAGAGTCTTTTGCTTTTGGCAAAACGCTACTTAATCCAATGGGTTCTGTACAGTAGATTTTGCAGATGTAATAAACCTTAATATAAAGGAGTCCTATGAACTCTACTGCTTTCGTTTCTTCTCTGGGCTGATGGCATAGACGTAGCCGGCCTTCTCTCAAACCCTGGTAGTTCAGGGAAGCTTGGCTCAAGGCTATGTGCCTCCAGTTGTATTCTCCAAGGGGTAGGATCCTGGGTCCAGGATTCCTCTGTTTGTTTGTTTGTTTTTGTTTTTTTGTTTTCTTTTGGCCAAACTTCTTTTGAAAGTTGGTAGGTTCAGCCAAGGTTTTACAGGGCCTGATGTCTGCTCTTCTAAATAAATGGTTTAACTGAGACTCTAGTGTAACTTGACCTGGGGTCACTAGAGTCACGCTTGGTTTGCAGAGCAGACACCTGGGACAGCCTTCCTCCCACATGTTTGCTGGGACACTTCTGAGGACTCCTTGCTTATTTAGCTCAACGATGTTCCAGCTGCTGGCAAGCCTGCTCAGTGGCCCAGCTAGACAAGAGACTGTGCCCTGTGTTCCATCCCAGAACTTGCTGCCAGGACATAATGGCTGGATGTGATGTGGGGAGGGGGTGGGGTCAGATCTGAGACAGCACTCGGTGGAGAGCTTGTGAGACGGTGGCCAAGCCTCAGGCTGGGCCCATTCGTGTAATTGCAATAAATGGTATGTGTCCATTTGGACAGCAGACTCTCTGGTGGTTGGTTGTGGAGTCTCTTCTTGGTCCCGCCATGTCCTACACTGTCCAGTTGTTGGAATGGGAGTCTTAACTGGCCTGTGTTCTGGCTTGGTATCAAATAGCAACAGTTTCTGCCATCCTTGCTCAGGCCCCAGGGCAGGACTTTGGTCTTGCCTTCTCCCAGGACCCCTGGCTTTGCACCTGTCCAGCTCTCTTAAGTGTATGGTGCCAACTCCAGCTGGATTAGTCCTTTCCCTTAGGTCATGAGGGCTCTGCTGATTCTGAATTTCAGAGTTTGCTGTTCGTTCTGTTTGCTCATTGTGCAATTCTTAAAAAAACTTTCACTAGCAAGTGGTCTCGTGTGGTAAAGGCTTGCAAGTACTGTCTGCACATTGGGAAAACAATGACAACGAAAGATTGGGAAGTTGAAAAAGCACAGGACACCAAGGAGCTCACCCCACTCCAAGTTATGAGGAGCTAGATGTCTCCATCAGCCTCATCTGGGTCCTGGTGCAGGTCAGCCCTGACACTGGGCATGTCTCTGGGGGTATTGAGCAGGAGGGACTGCACCTGTTGATACAGCAGGGCCTACAGACTCCAGCTTGCTTAGCATGTGCTACTCTCTTCCCATGCACTACACCCCAAAAGCAGTACTGGTTGCTGGGCCTACTGACACACGTGCCTGTAATGGCAGCAACTTGGAAAGATCAGGCAACGTTGAAGGTCTACCTGATTTTGTAGAATGAGTTCAACGTCAGTCTAGGCAAATTACAGAGACCCTGTCTCGAAAGGAAAAGCAAAAAGAGGGGCCAGCAAGATGGCTCAGTAGGTAAAAAGTTGCTTGCCACCAACCTTGGCAACCTGAGTTTGATCCCCAGAACCACATGATGGAGAAAGAGCAGACTCCTGCAAGTTACTGTCTGGCTTTTACATGCATACACATGTACACCCTCTCCAACTAAATAAATTTTCTTTTGCTTATTTAAAAAAGTTATATAATGTGTTTTGTTTATATTCTTCCTTCCCTACCCAACTTCTTTCTCTCTCAAAAACCAAAACCCAAATCAAAACAAACAACAAAAAATCCTGGCAAAACAAAATAAAACATACACACATACACACACACACAGGCATGGGGCCACTTTTGTGTGTGTGGCTGATAAACCAATACAGTGTCATGCCAGTGGAGAACATACCCTTTTCCCAGTAGGTATTGATTGCACATAGCTTCCTAATAGCTTCTTGGGGTGGAGCTTTGTGTCTACTTCCCTCTTTCCGTGAGTGATTCTGTATAGTTTGAACTTTTGCAGGTCTTGTGTGTGCTGTCAAAGTCTCTGAGTTCATACATGTATCCACCCTGTCTTGTCTGGAAGATGCCATTTCCTTGGAGTCATCCACCACCTCTGGCTCTTACATTCTTTCCATTTCTTCTGAGATCTCTGAGCCATGAGGGGAGGGACTTATCCCATTTAGGGCTGAGTGCTGCAAAGTCTGCAACTCCCAGCATATTCTCCAGTTGTGAGTCTGCCTTAGTTACCATCTACTCCAAGAAGCTGCTGCTTTTGACAGTGGCTGGGTGATAAACTGATCTCTAGAGTGTAGCAATATGTCATTAAAAGTCATTGTATTGCTATGTTCTTTTTTCTTTTTGTTTTTTGAGACAGGGTTTCTCTGTATTGCTTCAGAGGTTGTCCTGGCACTCGTTCTGTAGTCCAGGCTGGCCTCGAACTCAGAGGTCTGCCTGCCTCTGCCTCCCGAGTGCTGGGATTAAAGGTGTGTGCTACCAACACCTGGCTTTGTTGCTATGTTCTTTAACAGAATAATAGTAATAGGTTTTCTCCTGGGTCCCACAACCTCTCTAGTCTCAGTTTCTTGGCTACTTTAGCCATGTCAGATATGGGTTCCATCTCATGGAGTAAGCCTTAAGTCTGAATTTTAAAAAGTGGTTGATTACTCCAGTAACATTTGTGCCACTATTGCATGGGTATATTTTGCAGGCAGGTTGCTGCTGTAGGTCACAGGATTTATAGCTGGGTGATATTGGTGATTGCTCTTTTCCTCCAGTAACATGCAGAGTACCACCCAGGACTATGAACACTGTAAGCAGGAGTGAAACTGCCAGTTGGACACCATCACAGTTTCTTTGGAAATTAAAGTTTAAAAACTATTTTAATGGGGGCTGGAGAGACGGCTCAGAGGTTAAGAGCACTGATTGCTATTCCAGAGGTCCTGAGTTCAATTCCCAGCAACCACATCGTGGCTCACAACCATCCATTATGAGATTTGGTGCCCTCTTCTGGAGTGCAGATATACATGGAAGCAGAACGTTGTACACATAATAAATAAGTAAAATCTTTTTAAAAAAACCTATTTTAAGTGTAAACAGGGCTGGGGACATATAGCTCGGTTGTAGCACACTTGCCTATCTGGCATAAGCAAGGCCCTGGTTTTTGTCACCAACAATGACCAGAAAACATTCCCTTAGGTCATTCATTTGTTCCTTAAACCCTAAAAATAAGAATACTGGTTCTTTTCCCGTCCCCAGGCTGGGTAGTAAAAACAGTGATGGACTTGGTGGCCAAGACAACCATTCATTTTACTAATTTATATTCTACCCAAGTCCTACAGAAAGAAGCGAAGATGTGGAGTTGTTTAAACATCACTTTGGGGTCCTCAGGCAGCCCACAGCCTGTCTGTCCTTACCTGGGTGTGCTGTGTTCCACTTCAACAGACCCTCTTCTCTGCAGGGAGCCATGGGGCTCATTTCTGTCACTTCATCTTTAGCTCCCGCCACTGGTATGAGTGTGCTAGTGTTCCATGTAGGAAGTAAGAGTCACGGAATTCCCCTCTGAGGGTTCTTCTGGGTGACTTTCTGAGGGGTGGCTCTGTTGTGTCATGTTAGTTCGCATCTGGTTTCTGTTTGAATTGCAGTCTGGGCTTTGCTTGCCTCTGGGGTTTTGCTCTGAATGGCTTGTCACATTAAGAATGGAAGATCCTGGACCTCTGTTCTTCTGCTCTCAGGGATGCCAGTGGCTGCAGAGACGAGAAGGACAGAGTGGGTGTCCATGGCAGAGTTCTGTGGAGATTGCAAGGACAGGAACATTTGTCCAGCTTGACATCAGGGTCACTGGGGCTCA